TATATATATATATATATATGTATATATGTATATAACAGGTTGCTTTAGGACTACATTAATATGTTTAGACTGACTAGACCTGCAGAACGGTACAAGTGTGCAGTACAAGTCCCTACACCACATTATACAACACTTCAAATATTTGTATACCAAGCTAATAATTATGCCATGTTTATAACAGCCTAAATTTACATATGATTGACTTAAATTTTTATTCAGCATTTACAGCAGTCTGAAGATTTGTGCCTCCTAGACGGCCAAAAATACACTGATAAGTGTACATGCACTCACCACATTATTAGAAACTTCATTAGACCGTATTTAATGTGGTCATTCATTGGTGAATCAATATGTAGCTTAATAGGTTCCCTTTAATTCTAATAATAATACCTGAGGCTCCAATAAATTAGCATCCTACGATTCCCATGATGCAACTTTTTTTTTCTTACATTTTGAATGCTCTGCTATATTATACCCTCAGGTTTTGGGGTGTTACTATGACATCATCAGACTTTACTCCAAAGCTCCTTCCCCCACCCCTTCACCAAAAACATTAAAATTTTCCAGTCTAGATGCTTTCTTCTATATTGAGTACTTTATATTTAATATGCATTATTAGCAACTTAATAATAATTATGAATGTACAGCTAATGTGTGATATCACTTCCTCTTGCTGATGCAGAGTAAATCCTGGGGTGGAGTGTGTATCCCTGAATTCAGTCCAAGACATACACAAGTGTCTCTGTGAAACAGACATCCCCAGAAAGCCTCTGCATCACTAATACTCCCAAGCATCCTCCCCTCACTCCCTCCCCTTTGTTCCTCTCTGTGTCACAGCGCCACCTGATGGCAGCCACCTCACACAGTGTGGAGCAAAATAGAAACCCAATGTCACTGTGACACTTCATCTCCTTTGAGGTTGTAGCTGGAGAAGATTGTAGGGTTAAGTGGCAGCTGGTGGCTCAACAAATGGAGGAGGACAGGAGGAAATCCTGCCCATTGGTATTATTTTACATTAGCTGCTTGCTTCCAGTTTGTGAACACAACTGGCAGTCAGTACAGAAATTAGTGGGAAAATGTTCAGTGAACACATCGGTGCTGTGTTCACGGTAAACATATTTGAGACTCATCAAATATGTAAATGAATGTTTCCTTCTGCTCTGGGCTCGACTGCATTCCTTTTAAAACCTTACAGATATTTAGTTGTATGCAAAGATGGGATTGCTTGAATCAGGCAATCGTTGCATTTAATTTACTTTCAAATGAAATAATTAGGAAAAAGTGAAAATAACAGAATAATGATGATTCTTTTTTGCAGAAGAGATGCTTTCAAATATTACAAAGTAATGAATGTTGTAAATTGTTGTAACCGGTGTGATTCTGCGTTGTGTCTGATATAAAAAGGTAAAAGAAAGAAAGACCTCCAAGTAATTAATTTGCCCACTCCAGCTCCTCTCCCACAGGGGAATTGTAGAAAAAGGGGAGAGGCAAAAGGGGTACACTGTATTTATAGTATTGCACCAAAGAAGAAGAAGAAAAGAATGAGGAGGGGCTCTAACTGATAATGAACACAACTACAGGCTTGGAGGTCCTAAAAGTCAGGTATAAAAGGAGCAGTTTGGGGGTTTAGAACACATTTTGTGTAATTATAACAATGTGATTTATGACCCTGTTACATTGTGAAGACTGACTTTGATTTGTTCTATTTTTTCAAAGCAATTGTTGCATTTTTTACTACACAACATGTACTTTAGCTGTGGTGTTCCAGGATAAACCATTGTTCCGTCCCTGCTGACCTCATACACTTCTGTTGTTATTCAGAGACTTTACACCCTCGGGCCTTATTTATCTTCTCTCGCATAGCTGTTTAGGCATGCTAGTATCAACAAAGGTAGATTTTATTCAGTGCTTAAACTCTGATGTCATCTGAAACAGAACAGACATACTTCCAGGGATTCCTCTCTTTAGTATTTTAGTCTGCTGTTTTTTGTATATTGATGGACTATCACAGTGATTTAAATACCTTAGATATGAAGAGACACTCAAAGTCAGACTCTTCAGGATAAAATGGTTCGGTCAAAAAGCTTTTTAGTCTTTCCATCAGGCTTGTTCCACATTTCAGCACCAACACTGCTTCATAAGCACCAGAGAACAGGATACAGTCTGTGTCGATTACATGTCCGTAAGGTTAATAAGACTCGCA